AGCTGCCTCTACGGGTTTTCCGCTTTCCGCCTTGTGAGCGCTGAAACACATAATCGTGCATGCTTTGCTTCCTGGCTTGCAGCCGCAGTTGGTGCCTGCGTTGACAGGTTAGCACCGTTGGCAGTAGTCCCCTGGCCTGACAATAATCCCTTAATCATAACCGCATTAATAACGTCCGTTAGTTCTTCAGTTTTCATACGACCACCTTGGTGTGAAGCTGTTAGTTCCCTGTTTGTTGCGGCAGATTTTCTGGAATTGTAGGGGGAAAATAACTGCTTAAAAATACACTTTTCCATTAGATATTTCCTATTTATGTTGCCGTCTTCGTCTACTTACTTTGGATTTTTCAACATACGTTGTTAGTCCCCTCTAAGCGCTTATTTTTCTGTAAATTTGCCTTTTAAACATCTCCCTACATTTTTCCTGGAGAATTTTTTAATAGCCTTCAACGGTATTTGCTAGTACTTACATTACTCCGGCTCCGTACTGTATTCTGTGATTGTCTGATTTGTGTTCGCTATCATTCATTGGCAACTCAAACGCGTACACTAAAAAACAGTGGGGGTGGAAACATCACTTATCGCTCGTCGTTCCTATTGGCTGGAATCGCCTTGGCTACCGGACTGAATGTAAACTTATCCTACGCGGCTTATTAAAACTCAACTTAAACCTTCCATCGTTATGCAGCAGGGCAGGTTAAGTTTTACGGCCGAAATTCCCTTATTTTGTAAGCTTCCTCGAACTTCGCCTTCCAAACTACACGTGCGCTGTCCCACCCGTAAAACCCCCTTTACCGCCATTCCCGTAAGACATGGAACACCGACTAGCAATCTATCTCGGGGTCCTAAAGCCTACCGTTGCCGACAAATTTTAAGTGAGATAGTATGCTAACTGGTTTGCCTGCGCTAAAGTCCGAGCCTCGAAAATAGAACCAATCGATTGCCATATGAACTCCCCTGGCCCACTAAATCCCTCAATGAACTTGCACAATGTGTGAACAATCGAATTTCCACGTAAGGTAGCTCGATATTCAAACGGTCATCATCTTCTTCGAGAATCTCATTTTCGTCAAAATTTGGGGAGTGACCGTGTCCCGCAGAATGGGTTATGGTTCTCCGGCCCGTAGTCAAGAGATGAGCACAATGATATCTCGCCCCCATATGCCTACACAAAGCAAGTAGCCATGGGGGGAGGCGACAGAAGGCCAACGGTTCCGGTGACAGCGGGTCAAAATTACCGTCATCAGCACGCAGTGAATTAGCAACGGTGATGAAATCATGACCATTAAAGAGTTGGGTGCTGACTATACAGCAATCATCGGAGCAAACACGACCACTCCCTCCCCCCGATAAATGCGGGTGCTTCTAATTATAATAAACATGCGGCGGCATAGTAACTGCCTCCTATCAATGCTCCGCTTCTTGTGATTCCGCTACCTCAATTTACGACTGTCTGTGAAGATGAATTCGACTGAGAATCAGGCGTGTCGGGCTAGTAATCCTCCTGTTCTATCGATCGCACCTTCGACTTCTGTTTTGCTTCCCAAACTAGCCTGTTCGCTTCTATAGGACAAACCGATGATCACACAAAGTCCGTAGTAGACAGTGAATCAGTTTCGAAATGACGTAACAGTCGATCAGCCTCTGGCACAGGTAGGTTTTGAAAAACGTTAGTGGTCCATAAATTACTGTCGGCCCAGCAACGGGTACGCAACTAACTCGACAGTATGGGAGCCACAAGAAGGACGCACGGTCACAAGGACGGCCAAACGTAGCCGCCTAATAGTTAACTACGATATTCAGGTATTTGCTAAGGCACGCAAGACCAGTGTGTGTGGCATGTCAGATTATGACTAGACACATTCCAGGGATTTCCTGTGAACTTTTTGAGCTTTATCATGACGCTGCTAGGTTTCTGAGTAAGCCTCCTTCAAATGTTTAAGAACGTCCTCACAGGATCCAGTCGACCGAATCCTTTTTATCGGAAACCCTGGTTAGACGCATTCATTCCGTGCACTTCCCGTAAATCCTCTTGTTTGATAACTGTGGATGCCTGTCCCTATATGTGAACCGTTTCTAAATTCAAATAACATTAGTTCTGATTTCTCACTCTATTGCTATTGAGTATGACTTATAAAAGGTATGTATCAACATAAGAGATCTGCTAGCTTGCCTATTTTCTTTCTTTTTTCATTTTTAAGGTCACAGCCAGTTCAGATAACTCGATTAATAAAGTAGTCGGCCATTTCTTGAGGACTGCCCTCCTGTCGATCCCCCGAGTTCTTCGCATATTATAAGAAAGTATGGTAAACGGATAAGGTCAGTCAGCCTTTTTGAAGGGGCACAGATCAGGGGAAGACAAGTCAGTTATTTCTGGGAAATCTCACTTTTCCAAAGGAATCAATTAGACAGATAACTAACATTCAAATTCACGAGTTCCTCGTGTTGTCGAGTTTGTGGCCCTCAAAGGTAAAGTCACAATTCCTAACAGTTACGCTTGAAGGTACTAGTAATCGGTGGAGGTCGCACAATTTTCCAGGACAAACAAGGCATATAATTTCAATATTTAAGTTAAAAATCCTCTTACTTATTGTGTCCAGCCAGAAAGTTCAGTCAAAGCGAAACCAAGGGCAGATGTTTCCAAGACGTAGCCGCGGCGATCTACGCAGTTTCAAGCATTGTTCATTTCAAAACATTTGCCCCGGTTGTACTGACCCATAACTTTCAAGTAATGCTACAGAAACTGATGTTACACAAACTTGTAGTAAAACATGGTTGCTGATTGATACCTGCCCGATAACCAGATTCTTTAGTAAGTCGGCTAGGCCGACTTGCCGTAATCAAAATAGGGCTCAAGCGTAATAGACGTTTGGTAAGAAAGGCATTATGAAGGGACCAAGATAGGATGCCTGATTTAAACCCCTCCCAGAAGCTGAATTAGCAGACTTTGAGTGCTCATTGACACCATGATGAAAGAAAACGAAGATCCAATGTTCTCTTGACGGTCAAGGTCACAATGAATCGGGTTTGTCGTCTGGAAAATCGCAGCAATACCCCAAGAAAAGCCACTGTTACTCAGACGAGGCCCTACCATTTACTTTTATATAGGCATAAGTGTGACGGCGTAACAGACTAACGATTTTTAGGCTGCCTATGACGGTTTCAACATTTTCAATGAATAGAAGTTATCATCAGAAGAAGAAGAAGCGATCGCTGGAACAATGGCTTTATTCGACTGACGTTTCGGATTCCCTCTTGAATCCATCATCAGAGACAGTTGCAGAAAAGGGTGGCTAGTGTACAGGAAGTCGCAGTATTTATAGGATGCGGTCGCCATGCTACCGCCTACCTACAGCAATTAACCGTGCTCACTTCATCAAGGATTGTTGCCCGCTGGTGCGCTAATTGCTTGATGGACGGCATGCAAGTTGTTAATTGCTGACATCTCATCACCCGTGTTGGATGCTGGCGTGATGATTGCTCGGCCATCTGGCTCACGTGCTTGCGCGCTCTTCGAGTGGTCAATTGCTTTCGCCAGTCTATGCCTCAGGACAGAATATGGAGTGGGGATGTCGTTGCACTTGTTGATAGACTGAGGTCCCGTGAACCATGCCTCAAGCAACTCGCGGCTCACGCGATTATCCCCTCTCGCGAGAATTTCGGCCTCATCGAACTTGAATGTGTGGCCGGGTCTCGTCGAATGGGCCGCGACCTGAGAGTTGGCGTCATTTCTCCGTACAGCTGCCACGTGTTCGGCGATTCGCGTCCGGAGCAGTCTTCCAGTTTCTCCGACGTAGTTGCTTTGTCCGTAACTGCACCAGATCCGGTAAACGACTCCAGATGTTTCTTGTCGTGGCAGTGGGTCTTTTGGTCTCATCACTTGACGCCTCATGGTGGCCTCCGGTCTGTGCGCAACTCCAACCCCAAGTGGTGCAAGAAGGCGGCTAACGGCCTCGGAGACGTTCTGGATGTACGGGATCGCTCGCCAGAATTTGGGGTCGGCGCGATTTTGTCGCTCGTCTCGTTTGCGCAGGCACTGGTTGACGAAGTTGCGCTGGTAACCGTTTTCTCGGAAAACCCGTCGAAGGTATTGGGATTCGGCAACCTTGTCTTCCGGTTCACTGCAGTGCGTCTCAACACGCCGAAATAGCGTTCTTACGCAACTGCGTTTGTGGCAGATTGGGTTGTTACTGTTGAAGTTGAGAATTTGCGTCGTGTTCGTTGCTTTTCTGAACACTTTGGTCTTTAGGCCACCACAATCTTTGCGACAGACGAGGACATCAAGGAATGCCAGCTGGTTATTCTCTTCCTCTTCCATCGTGAATTGTATGTCCGGGAAGACGCTGTTGAGACGTTCTTTGAACGTTAGCACCTGATCCCGTTCGATGACGACGAAGGTATCGTCCACATACCGAGCCCAGAATTTCGGTCTGTGGTGTTGGAAGACCAGCGACTCCAACCGCTGTAGCACCGCCTTGGCGATGAATCCCGAAATCGGCGAGCCCATTGGTGTTCCCTTCACTTGCTCGTAGATTGTTCCGTCAAACGTGAAGTACGTCCTGAGACAGAACTTTAGGAGCTGAAGGACTTGGGCATGTCCGAGACGATTCTCCGTTTCATCGTTTTTGTTTCGTAGGAGTAGCTGGAGGGTCTCGATTGCCAGATCCTGGGGGATAGAAGTAAAGAGGGACGTGACATCAAAAGATACCATGACCTCATTGGGCAAGAGACTTACTCCTTTAAGCTTCTCCAGGAATTGCGTTGACGAACAGACCGTGGTGTCCGAATCAGCGGTCAGAAATTTGAGGCGCCGAAACAGCCATCTTGCCAGTCCGTACGTTGGAGTGCCTTTGAGCGAAACAATCGTCCGGAGAGGAGCGCCCTCCTTGTGCACCTTTGGGAGACCATAGAATCGGGCCAAAGCCGTTTCTTGGGCTCTCGCCATGCGTCGGTCGGTCGCTGTTATTGCACCCGAGTTCTCCAGTGCCAACAGTGTTGCATTTATTTCGCGTGCAGCGTTTTTATGGGGTTGGTTTCACATGGGACATAGAACTGGCGATCCTCCAGTAGGTTTTTGGCCTTCTGAAGGTAGTCTGTTCTGTCCAGTACGACGGTGGAACGCCCCTTGTCCGCGGGCACAATGACGATGTCCTTGTCGGCCTTGAGTTTTCTTAGTGCATCGCGTTCGACCTTTGTGAGTGTTTCGCGCGGCTTGTGAGTCATAAGGAGGGACGTAACTTGGTGTCGGATAAGGTTCTTCGTCTCCTCCGTCGCTTCCGTCTGATTAATGACCGATTCCACTGCTGCAATCATGTTGACAGGTTTGGCGTCAGCTGTGTTGAATGAGGCTTCGTGCCGTAAAACCTGTGCTTGCTCCTTCGTCGGTTCCCTTGACGACAGGTTGTGTACCAGTGTGCCGCTTCTGGATGACGTTGGATCAGGCAGTCTGTGGAATTTGTTCCCCAGTGCTGCATCGCGTGTCGCTCTTTGCTCGCGGGCTCGTTCAGTCACTTTCTGCTGAAGCAGATTTGTGCCGTTCTCGCCCATGAACTCGTAGCATCTGGCCTTTTCTTGGTCAATTCTCTGACGGTATTTGCGTAGTCTCGCATGGCAGTCTTGAAGGAGCACGCGGATCATACGTCTTCCGTGCTGAAATACTGCGCGTCTCGCTAGGTCCGTGTTTACCGGAGGTTTGTATGAAACACACTTCGGCAACACGCTGTTATCGAGACACCTGTGCAGAAACCGGATCTGCGCGTAAGCAGAGGCCTCTCAAAGGGCGAAAGTTTCCCATCGTCGAGCCGATCGGAGCGCGTCGCGCCCAAACAAATTTCCGATGCAAGCGAAAATGCGAGTTCCAGGAACTAGTTGATCAGAAGAAGAAGAAGCGATCGCTGGAACAATGGCTTTATTCGACTGACGTTTCGGATTCCCTCTTGAATCCATCATCAGAGACAGTTGCAGAAAAGGGTGGCTAGTGTACAGGAAGTCGCAGTATTTATAGGATGCGGTCGCCATGCTACCGCCTACCTACAGCAATTAACCGTGCTCACTTCATCAAGGATTGTTGCCCGCTGGTGCGCTAATTGCTTGATGGACGGCATGCAAGTTGTTAATTGCTGACATCTCATCACCCGTGTTGGATGCTGGCGTGATGATTGCTCGGCCATCTGGCTCACGTGCTTGCGCGCTCTTCGAGTGGTCAATTGCTTTCGCCAGTCTATGCCTCAGGACAGAGAGGGGATAATCGCGTGAGCCGCGAGTTGCTTGAGGCATGGTTCACGGGACCTCAGTCTATCAACAAGTGCAACGACATCCCCACTCCATATTCTGTCCTGAGGCATAGACTGGCGAAAGCAATTGACCACTCGAAGAGCGCGCAAGCACGTGAGCCAGATGGCCGAGCAATCATCACGCCAGCATCCAACACGGGTGATGAGATGTCAGCAATTAACAACTTGCATGCCGTCCATCAAGCAATTAGCGCACCAGCGGGCAACAATCCTTGATGAAGTGAGCACGGTTAATTGCTGTAGGTAGGCGGTAGCATGGCGACCGCATCCTATAAATACTGCGACTTCCTGTACACTAGCCACCCTTTTCTGCAACTGTCTCTGATGATGGATTCAAGAGGGAATCCGAAACGTCAGGCGAATAAAGCCATTGTTCCAGCGATCGCTTCTTCTTCTTCTGATCAACTAGTTCCTGGAACTCGCATTTTCACTTGTGTCGGCACAAGTTTTCATTTGAGGCGTGAAAAAAACATTCGCATTTTACATAATGGATGTAATTATCGCCGTCATGAGAACAGAAGTCGCTGACATCCAACCCCCGGCATCCCACAGTGTGTGCTCCAAGTGGGCGCACGATTCAACTCGGTTAATTCCATTACTAGTGACGAAGACAGCCCATGAACATGTTACGTCAAAACCTATCAATTGAAATTGCCACATTATCGAAGAAGGAGGCATTGTATAGTTAACGTTCGTTTATTGAATGATCTTAAATCTGGTTTTGAGATTATTTTTGCTATGTTAGCCAAATATTCACTGGATATGGATACTTTTGAACTGATAATTGGGCTCGGCCGATCAGCCGTGCAGGTGAATGCCCTTCTTTTTTCAACCTTCACTTTCATTCCATTCCCTGCTATTTCAGATGGTTAACAGTGCATGTTCGTTCATGAAATTTGTGTTGGCATTTAAGGATGAAACCTGAATCTCATTTCAGAATACACTACAAAGTAAATTACGGATTAGGTTGGTCAGCAGTTTGAAGGAGCACAGATCAGCGGGAAAATAGGTCGGTTATTTTATGAGAAAGAACACGAGTTCCTCGTGTTGTCGAGTCTGTAGCCCTTAAAGTCAGTCACAATTTCGAACAGTTACGCTTGAAGGTACACTAGTAATCGTTGGAGGTCGAACAATTCCCCAGGTCAACCAGTGTATATAATTTCAATTTTTAAGTTAAAAATTCTCCTACTTATTGTGTCCAGCCAGAAAGTTCAGTCAAAGCGAAACCATGGGCAGATGCTTCCACGAGGCAGCCGCGGCGATCTACGCAGTTTCAAGTATTGTTCATTTTAAAACGTTCGCCCCGGTTGTACTGACCCATGACTTTCCAGTAACTCTAGAGAAACTGATGTTACACAAACATGTAATAAAGCATGGTTGCTGATTGACACCTGCCGGATAACCACCTTATTTAGTAAGTCGGCTAGACCGATTTGTAGTGACTGAAATAGGGCTCAAGTCTAAAAGACGTTTAGTAGCAAAGACAGTATGGAGGGGCCAAGATAGGATGCTTGATATACACAACTCCAAGAAACTGAGCTAGGAGATCTTGCAAACTGGTAGGTGCCCACTATCACCACAATGGCTAAAGACGTAGATCTAATGTTCTGCAGTCGGCCTGGGCCACAGCGAACCGGGTTTCTTGTCTGGAAAGTGGCGGCAGTGCCCTAAGGAAAGTCACTGTTACTCAGTCGGGACCATGCCATTCACTTTTCTTCAGGCATATGTGACGTTCTACCAAGCCAAAGATTTGTAGGCTGCCTTTTGCCGGCTTCAACATTTTCTATGAATAGAAGTGAAGGCGTTAAAAAACACATGTGCATTTTACGTAATGGATGTAATAACCGCCGTCTTGAGAACAGAAGTCGCTTGGCATCCCACAATGTGTGCTCGAAGTGGGCGCACGATTAAACTCGATTAATTCGATTACTAATGATGAAGAAAGCCAATGAACATGCTACGTCAAAACCTATCGAAAGTGGGAGGTGTTGTATAGTTAACGTTCGTTGAGTAAATGATCTTACTTCTGGTTTTGAGATCATTTTTGCTATGTCAGCCGATTATTCACTTGATAAGGATACTTTTGAACTGATAATTGGGCTCAGCCGATCAGCCGTGCAGGGGAATGCCCTTCGTTTTTCCACCTTCACTTTCATTCAATTCCCTGCTATTTCAGATGGTGAATAGTGCACATTCGTTCATGAAATTTGTGTTGGCGTTTAAAATTGAAACCTGAATCTCATTTCAAAATGCGCTACAGAGTAAATTAATCCTTCGCAGACAGTTTTCCGGAAGAAAACAAGAGCGTGATAGTAGGCCAGACACGAAACTCGTGGATTACCTACTGCCTAATTCAGGGCCGTAGGATTTTGCTTGTCGAATGTCACAACAAAAAATAACGCAAGAATACCAAGGCTGACCAAGGCTTTCTCAGTGTACAGGCGAAACGCACCTTTGGGCCGCCGGTATGGTAAATAATGCGACGCATTAATGCTACTGGCTGTCTGATAAGTAGCATACGGTTACCCCGCTGTAGATGAGGGATTTCGGCCAGGATAGTCAAACCAACTTTCTCGCTGGGCTTGTGAAGCCGCGATTCGACTGAATTATTCCGCATGAGCGATGAGACTAAAAGGCCGAAATTAAGGACGGTGCTTGCCTGTATACTCGCCTGTCCAGAAAAAGCCACGACAATGAGTATGAGGGGATCATTGTGCATGTTAGGAATCGATGAGCCGATTTCCGCCTCTTACGGAAGGTTCTGCGGAAGAAACTTAGAGTTGTGGTAGAATCCTCTAGAAGGAGCCGCGACTTAAAATCAGGCGTCATTCCGCCTCATTGTTGGCGCGTGTTGGACCATCTGCTTCCGGATTAGTCTTACAGTTTCTCCAACGTATTGGCCTAACCCTCAACTGCGCCATGTCCATTAAACGGATCTGGCAGCGGCAAGTCTTTTGATCTCCTGGCCTGATGTCTGGTAATTAACTCCGGCCTGTTTGAGAGCCAAATTCCAGGTAGTAGGAGAAGGCGGATAATGGCGTCTGAGGCGTTCTTGGCACATGCTCAGTTTCGCCAAATCGTAGGGCCTGTGCGATCCGGTCTCTCGTCTGGTTGGCGTACGCGCTTGTTGATGAAACTGCGCAGATAGTCATTAGTGCGGAGCACGCCTAGAAGTTATTATACTTCGGCAACCTTGTCGTCTGGTTTACCACAGTGTGTCTCAACACGCCGATAGAGCATCGCTACACAACTGAGTTTGTGAATGATTGTGTGGTCGCTGTTATAGTCCAGTACCTGCACAGCGTTCGTCGTTGGAACAAGATATTGTGTTCCGGCGATCGCGCCACTTTCTGTCCAATTGCTACCGAATATTGGCATTTACGACTAGGTCGAAAAACTTGCCATTCGGCATTGTTGTTAGTAAAGCAATTAGATCAACATTCATAATTCTTCGCAGCTAAAATCTGTGCAATTGCTCATCTAGATTATTATTGAAGTTACTCTAATAGATTACTGCTCATTGTGCTGGGCTGCTAAAAGTTATCCAATTTAAACTATTTTGTGTTTCGCGCGTTATTTTACGTTTGCTTCAATACATATATCCTGCTAACAATGAATTCTACTTGTTTATTTTAGCCAAAGCTAAATGTCCTCAGTATGTTTATTCTGTTGCTCTATTTGAACAAAGGTAAGATGTGTTTGTGTAGCCCCTCCTGATGGACACAAGACTGTCGGGGTTGGGGTTAGGGTTAGGGATTAGGGCTAGTGATTAGGGCAACTATTGCTCAACCACTCAAAGTACAACTGCGCATTTGCCAATGGCTTTTCTTCTGCTTACAACTACTGGACATCGTCGCCTGTGCATTCCTCGGCCACACCTGTAATAACCCCTATGACCACCGGTCCCGTAGTACAGGTGGCTGGGTTTTTTTTTTTACCTCAGATGCTGCTATATAACTGCATATGACCCAAAACTTTTGACTAGAAACCCGTCATTCCACCTTCGAGCCATTCAGAATGCCTGCTCCTCAGACGAATATCCCGGTTGTAGAAAGTCCGGTTTTGAGCACTCCGCAGACGCAGAGATGCCGCACATATGGTTACCTGACTTTTTCACGTTCCCCCCTCTCCTACAAGGGACCTAGAACACAGCCACTAAGACGGAAAACCTCAGTGATTATATATGCCATTTTTATTTCCACCAGTTTATTTCCACGAGTAGTTGGAATTTCCGAGAGAAAAGATGCTCTTTACTACCAGTGAAAGATAAAGCACTCACGAGAATAAGGGATTCTCAGGAACCCCCTGCTTATCTTCCCGATGTTTTGAATGTGCAGAAGCCACGACTGCCAGATGTCATGGTAATAGGAGAGAAATGGGTTCGCGCACCCAGTGTGTACACGGCCGTTTAGCCGTCACCTTCACCGACCGCTTCTTTTACCCCAGGTCAAAGGGCAAGACTGGTGAGTCACGCGGGGTAATGAAGAAAGCTCACACACATGGTGCCACCACTGCCCTGAAAAAACGACCAGGTTAACTGTAACCGACACAGCGGTGAGTACTATATCTTTCAAAGACGAACGTCTGTTTATTTTCGAAGCGTCAGGAAAGTAGACCCAGTCTTACCAAGATCCTTTTTACTCATGTTATGTATTCGTCCAATGTGCCCTCTTGAGGTGGACCTTGAGGCAGAATCTGTGGACTAAATCAGGCCGTGGAATACCCATATCATCTGTCTATTTGTCAGCCGAACGTACTGCGGCTCTTGGATTTTAAAGACATACTCGGAAACAAACAAGCTGCTTGAAGTAGGTTGTAAGAATAAGCTGCTGAAGAAATTGCCTTGCTCAGCACAAAGGAAATAAACTCGTTGACTACGTGCTATAATAATTTAGTTGAACAGGATTTTTTAAACTCCATTAGTAGGAATCAGCTGAAACCAGATTTAACAGTTTAACACCCAAAGTCAAAATGTTCGAGACAGCTCTGAAGTGGCACCTGAATCACGGCATTTCTAATGGTCGCTTCGTAATGTTAGATACGCTGTTCTGGAAGGATTATGCAACAAAAGTATGTGATTAGAAATTTGTCCACATGCGCACTTTCATCCATATTTCCTTTTTGTAGAATTTTTTAATTGCGACTTCCGATGTTTTTCATGTGGTTAGAAGTCGCATATCTTTGTTTTAGGTAGAGAGGTGCCGGACTAGTTGTCATGGAACCCATTTGGATAGACTGTCTGTCCTCCGATCTGTGTAAGTGGACCAAGTCGACAAATCGCAGATTGCGCCTGCTGCGGTTCTGCTGGTATAACTGTCGAAGAGCTATTAGGCTGCTGTTAAAGCTAGGAGCTGGAATATCAAAATTCGCATGCAGATTATGACAGTTTTCCCCAACTAAACATTTCACTTGTAAATGGAATCCTAACGAATTTAACCGAATTTTATATTTTTTGCGTTATTTCACATCTGAGAGGACAATTACCTGCATTTCGTAACAGAATAATCGGCCCACGGTACAGATCTGTTTCGTTTTTCCAGGTCCCTGCCGATTGTAATGCGAGTTTTGATGTCTCACAACCTGTCCATTTTCAAGCAACTTCCAATGACTCCTGAGATGTGAATTCTGCTTTAGCAAATGAGACTTTGGCGCGGCACAGCAGAGATATGACAAGGGTGATAATTCATAATTTTAATAAAAGACTGCAACGTTGCAACCTAGAACTAGATCATTCCGAATCTAAGTTCTTGGCAATCGCTGGTGAAGAAATGAACAGAAATAACGACACTATTCTCAAGCATTTGCGAGAAGCACCTGCCAAAATGAATAAGAAACTATTAATAAAATTTGGAAAATCGAGACTACCCCACTCACTGGCTTCAAAAATATCCCATAAAACGGTGACCGCAGTCATTAAATAATCACCAAAGCAGTAAAGGTCAAACCGTTACGCTTGTGTTATCAATTACCACGCAGTCCAATTCAGAAAAAAGTTATAACTTATGTCATATTACCTTTTTGGCACTTGATCGTCTCTTCTACACAGTCGCCCACAGGCGGAATAGGAAGCACGGTAGGTAGAGCCCAGCATTTGATCAGTCATCTACAGTGTGTTTGGCCATTTACTCATATTTCCTTATACCGATGCGTTAAGTTTTCCTTTCATGCAGCGGCATACTAAGCATCACATGAAGAGGAAGGTAATATGGCCCCTTGAGCCGGAATTTTATTTTACCGACACCTTAACTTCCCTCCCAAACCCAGGAAATGAAACATCAAGAGGAAAGAAAAACATTGTGTACCATCCCCAACTTACAGCGCTTGGATTTGCTGAAGTTTCCATTAATAATGAAATTTAATACGTCGAGGAGCTTCTGAATTTCTGAAAGCATTATTACCCGTCGCTAGGGACTGTGGATGCTGGGCAACATGTATTTAGTTTTTGCACGAATACAACTAAAAACATTACATATGGCAGTTTAACTGTCGTTTGCAACAAGGTTCATCATGTTCCCCACAACAGGCGTTCATACCAGAGTCAAAAAGGCCGCTGGCTGGAAAGGTAAAAGGCCAAACCAAAGCTAGTGGCAACACACCGGCTCGGACTTTACTGCCTGAGAGTGCTATTGAGCCCAATTCAAGAAGGGGTCATTGCGGCCCGACTTCCAGTCGACCAGACGACTGCTCCACGCAAATACACGCTGGGTTGACCGCAAGGTCAGAGTTATCCCGTCAGCTGACAGCCTCCTAAACACGGCCTTTAGCACACCATGATAGATTCAGGGGTGTAAGATTGTTTGAACAAAGACTATACGCTAAGACCGTCGACATCACCCTCCCTTTCCACGCCAAGGTGCCTGTCGGTTACCCGAGCCGGTAAATTGTCTGGCATGGGAAGTAGGCGCAGGAGAAGAGAGCTGCTTTGAGCGCGTCACATACGCGACCTGATCCACAATCAGGATTACACACACGCATGAGAAGCGGCCCGAAGCTCATATGTGTGAGAGAGTGAAATTTCGAAGGAGCCATCGCAATCTGACTCTCGGTCCATCAGTCTACAGATCGATGCACAAGCCTACATCGGTCTAAATTGCACGGATTGAGTTGAATCCTTAGCCGGGTGCCCTCCAACCCATTGCTTTTGGTGTACCCTATTAGTCGCATGAATTTCAGATTGTTTATAGTGGAAAATTGTGTGCCGGCCTCCCCGACCCATCGCGTCACCCAAAGGTTCTCCAACGTACGGACTGGCTAAGTGGCTGTTCCAGCGTCTCAAGTTCCTGACCGCTGAGTCAGACACCACGGTCTCTTCGTCTGCACAATTCCTGGAGAAACTGAAAGGGGTAAGCCTTCATCCAAATAGGGTAATTGTGTCTTTTGATGTTACATCTCTTTTTACTTCTGTTCCCCAGGACCTGGCGATCGAGACAATCGAGCTGCTTCTAAAAAGCAAATACGATGAAACGGAGAATCGTCTTGGACACGCCCAAATCCTTCAGCTCCTGAGGCTCTGTCTCAGGATATACTTCACATTCGAAGGGACAATCTACGAACAGGTAAAGGGCACACCAATGGGTTCGCCGATTTCGTCATTCATCGCCGACGCGGTCCTGTAACGGTTAGAGTCATTGGTCTTCCAACACCAAAAACCGAAGTTCTGGACCCGGTATGTGGATGATACCTTCGTCGTTATCGAACGGGATAAACTGCTGACATTCAAGGGACATCTGAATGCGGTCTGCCCGGACATACAATTTACGGTGGAGGAGGAAGAGAACAACCAGCTGGCCTTCATGGATGTCCTCGTATGCCGCAAAGATTTTGGTGGACTAAGGATCAAAGTGTTCAGGAAAGCGACGAATACGATGCAAGTACTGAACTTCAACAGCAACCACTTAATCAGCCACAAAGGCAGTTGTGTAAGGACGCTCTACCGGCGTGTCGAAACGCACTGCAGTGAGCTGGAAGACAAGACTGCTGAACTACAATACCTCCGACGAGTATTCAAAGCCAATGGCTATCCGCGCAACTTTGTCAACCAGTGCATACGCAAAAGGGACGAAAGGCCTAAGCGCACGGACACCAAATCTTGGCGGGCGCTTCCGTATATCAAGAGCATTTCGGAAGCTGTCGGCCGCCTTCTCGCACCACTTGAGGTTGGAGGAGTTGCACACAGACCGGAGGCAACCATCAGGCTTCTGGTAATGAAACCGAAAGACCCGCTGCCACGTCTGGAGTCGTTTATCGGATCTGGTGCAGTTGCAGACAAAGCAGCTACGTCGGAAAAACCAAAAGAAAGCTCCGAACGAGAATGTCCGAGCACGCTGCAGCAGTGCGGAGAAATGACGCCAGCTCTCAAGTTGCGACTCATTCGACGATATCCGGCCACGCATTCAAATTCGATGAGGCCGAAATTCTCGCAAGAGGTGACAACCGCGTCAGCCGGGAGCTCCTTGGGTCATGGTTTACTGGCCCCCAGTCCATTGACAAGTGAAATGAACTTCCCCTTCCATACTCAGCGTTGACATTTCGCCTAGGCGGAGTAATTAGCCATGCGGGAGCGCACAGGTTAACGCTGTTCCCAACTGCCGATACAAGCGAAAATGCGAGTTCCAGGAACTAGTTGATCAGAAGAATAATGGCGAATAAAGCCATTGTTCCAGCGATCGCATCTTCTTCTGATCAACTGTTCCCAACGCCAGGGTGGGTGGACCAGATGGTCCAGCAATCATCACACCAACATCCAACGCACGTGATGAGATTGCAGCGATTAACGACGCGCATGTCGGCCATCACACCACGTGTAACGATACCTGATGAAGGGGGGAGCCGCGAGCATTCATGGGTATGCGGTAGCATGACGACTGCATCCTATAAATGCTGCAGCCCCTTATGCATGAAACACCCTTATCTGCTCCTGTCTCCGGTGATGGGCTCGAGCAGGAATCCCAAACGTCAGGCTAATAAAGCTCTTGTCCCAGACATCGTGTCTCCTTCTTCAATGTGTGCTGGGTGCTGACCCCACCCGCCTTACCATATCTCGTGCAATAGTTGACTGTCCGATCCGGTCAACCAACTGATGCTGAGACTGGAGGCGGTGGCTGGCAGAGCAAAGGAGAGCCTGTCTGAGTGTGCAACACACACGACCTTACACCCCGCACACACAAGTCAAGGATTTCACACAGGGGTCTGTTTAAAATATCACATGTATTTGAAGAGACACAGATGTTCATTTGTAATGCATGTGCAGGCGGGTGGGAACGTGTAGTTATGTAGGCTTTTCCGTGGTGATTTACTGCAGGTTTTCTTGACGGTGCATGTGAACGAATAGGCCCGCGCGGTGGTCGAATGTGCGAGGGCAGTGTGGGCACTTGAGGCGATGTCGTCTGGTGTGCATTGATGTTTCAGGCGTTGGTCCGTTAGTCTCTGTGCGAGGAGTTCCCAAGTGACCCACCAGGCCAGTGCGTGAGGTGAACGCGCGGTGAGGGGTTGGAGAAGGTTAAGTCGGCCGTTGCTGTAGTGCTGCTAGTGGTGTGCTCAGTGGTCGATAGGGGGTTGATTTGGCAGGGAATGGGGGAGTTACTGAGTGTGCAAGATATGTTTGGTGTGTCAATATTACGATGAGTCTCGCTATTTTCAATACGCATGCGACTGAATAATCCCACGCGGTGTATGAATGTGCGTTACTAGTGTGGACAGTGACGGTGGATGCGACGAGTGTATGTGGGGGCTCCTGGCACCGGTTCGTCGGCCGCAGTGCGGTACATTTGCGAGTGACCGGCCGCGCCGATAACCGGTTAGGACCTAGTCCATATCGGGAAATTTGTAAGCACTCAAAAGAATTCTTCAAGATGTCCTTCTAGTTTTAAGTTGGGCGCTCTTGTCGCCGAGTACCCCTAGCGACATCTCCATGGAAGATACACAGCCGTTATACTTGCACTCAGCGTTCGAAAACTACAAGCCGTATATTTTCTGTGTACGAAAAACCAGACATTGTTGTAGGTTATTTACGGGGAACTATATGGGGTTTATAAAATTTAAAAGTCGATTTGAGGCATATTGTATATTTTGCAAGCAAATGCAGGGATACGAGGTTCTATGAAAGATTATTTTACAGCTTTAAAATCTCATAATTAGGGACTTTTTAAAAATCGCATTGTGACCGTCCTTCAAGTGTAATTTTAAAGAAGACATAATTTTCTTTCAAATGAGTAAAAGAATGAATATTTTTATGCGTGTTTTATATAAAATATATTTGAATACATAGGGGCATGGAAAATCAACGAGAAAAACGCCTACCACCTAAGGAGTCAGACACCCAAAAGAAAGTTCATTCTAAGGCCGGGATCCCGAAGTAACAAAAATATATTGGGTTATGCCGCACGGTAATTATTATTGCAACATTACATAGATGATCGTTTCGATTAGGAGATAGATTCCAGAATTTTGGTTAATACAGCATCGGTTAACATATCTACTGTAGCTCAGCCTCAAAACTTTAAATGACGTATGCTATTTAAAGACGCCCAAAAATGGTAGCACAATGTAATTTGCAAACCCAGCTAAGATCTGTCCTAAGATATACAATATTGTTATCCCATTATAATAATCCCTCAAATTAAGACTAAGATTAAATCGTCCTGTAAACTTTTTCGAATTTATGAATTTTTATTATTGAACAGTTCCACGAGAGCGTCCTTGTCTAAGTAGTCGGAGTCTACCTGCGATAAACTCATTAGATAAAGCGTTAGATAAAGCATTTTTGTAAATGAATCTGGATAATAAATTCCCGCAGAGTGTAAAATATGTATGTCAAAATTGTTCGAATAAATGTTGGCAACTAAACATTAGGAAATAACGGATATTTCTCAGTATTCTCTGTATTCTGGATGAATCTTCTGGTTGAAACAAACAAGAAAAATGGGTAATTCAAAATACCAAAAATTAATTTCACTAGTGGTTTCTTACGACCGATCTCCTGATGATGTGTAGAGTGCAGAATGACAAACGTTATTAGTGCTACAAGTTAAAGTTAAAATTTCCTCAAGTGCCACGAATAAAAGACTTTTGCGAAAGTCATAAATACGGTAAGTTTATCACTACGCTTGAGCTTATTTTATATTTCAGTCTTGTGCGGAATTAGTTTCACTTACCTTTGACTAGTGTGCAAATTTGAAATGGCTTGTTCCTCTTCCCTGACCGTTTGAAACTTGCAAAGACTTTAAGGCACACAACTCTTTTAACACACCTGCTCCGTGTTTCGTGGTCATGTGGTTGTTTTCGTATGTAAGTTTGCGCTAGTGGAATGAGAACAAAAAAGTGTTTTTTGATGAAATTATTGAAAATATCTTGAAACTTGGCACGTGAATCGACTCAGGTTGGACGTCACCCGTTAGTTGTATTTGTGATCCGGCTGATGTCTTCTCAGACCCTTTTCTTTTTCAAACACTCAAATTTAGATATTTAGAAACGTTGAGTTTTATTGTCAGCGGTTGATAAAATCGAGAAAAATCGCCGTTTTGTGCAGATTATGGCATAATTTACATCCATTTCAGACGCACAACAACCCACCAGATCAAAACGTATGTTGGATATCGTATACCAGAAGGTCTGAAGCCTTAAATCTTTCAATCTCACAGCCTATCCCAACGACTGCCAAAACCCTTCCGATAGTGAAAATAGGCTATTAAATAACCTTCAAGCATATGATGAGGAGCAGACCTCAGCGGTATCCCGAACGGAACTAACACGTTGGTAACGATCTGTAGAAGCTCGTCGGGCAATCCTTATGAAAAGTCTGTTACGGTGTTTCCCACGGATAAATATCCTCCTTTTCGTGATGATTTCTGCTTGCCCAGCCTGTGATCTGGCTAGTCCCTTTGTCCAATCTATACTGCAGCAGCAATAAGCAAAATCCAAGAGTGCTGAAATCATTGGGACAGAGATGAGTGTCAGGCCTAAAACATCTCAGCCATCGACTACGAACATGAGACAACTAGAAATTTTGTCCTGACCATTCTGTTTCCTTCTTCTCGCCTCCTCCCAATAAATCCTCCTTTCGCTTCTATTAGTCGTTCATCTTGCGCGGCCTCTGATGTGCTGAAGACATTGTCTGGAATAATGCGACTTTGTAGCGTATAGTCTAATCTTTGGATCGGTCTCGGACGACGGTTGTCGAAGCATCAATTTTTAATTCACTGCCTGTCCTCAAAATACAACATTTACAACTAAGGAAGAGTACCCGGTACACCTTACTTATTCTGTCACTTGAAAAACCCTGTAGAGTTCATGAACGCATTCGAATGCTCATAAAAGTCCTAGCGTGAGGCATCATTTCACGTGACGTCATCAACTTTACCTTGTACGTTGGATTTCAAATTGTCACATGATCACCTGAAGGTTTCCACTTCGTCGGGGTACGTGCTACTGTAACAAATCAAATAATGAAAATTGCCCATCGATCAACAGAAACTCCCTCCCCTTGTGACACGTGTCTACCTAACCCTCACTGTCACGTCATGCCCCCTCTCCAACCCCCTTCCCCTATCTATTCACATACCGCGACTGTATGAAAAGACGAACCGTAATCGATTGCGCTTATCACTTACACGTTTCAGTTTGTACCTCGTTTCCATATAAGTGTACAAGCCCGATGTGAATTTATCGAAAGCACGCGTATGCTCGCCACATACCCTTCAGAATGCGAATTATTTATTAAAAAGGATAAGTCCGTAATAGCCAGAATTTTAGAAGAACTTAGGTAATCTTATCAAGACGCGCTTCAGCAACCACAATTACCACAATTCACACGAAGTCCTCCATTCGCAAATAAATAATTGTCAGAAAGTTGTATGAATGTTGCATGTAATTGTTATTCAACAGTATAACTTGTTTTAAACAAACCACCTAACAAACTACTTTAGAATGTTGCCGGGAAAGTTGCTTCTATCCATGTTCACAAAAAGTTTTCAGGTATGTAGCTAATTATGCCCAAGAGCTAGCGCTCAAGTTTCGGTCTCAATTGCCTTCAGTGACAAGCATTGATCTAAGTAAGAAGTAAGTGTTTAAACGTAGGTTTTGACATCTCCTCGTAATTGCATCGGCCTCAAATGCTCTAATTAACTTTTTCTGCTAGTCTCCTATACTAGACGTGTACCAGGTTTAAGAAAGTTACTTTTACTCGCTAACCGTTTTGACCTTAACTCACTTATTTTCTCATACTGAGGACATCCTGTTGAAGAAGACCATTTCGCTGTTAGCTCATTTTTATATGTCACTGTTTCTCACTCCTTTAACGGCGCCAATAAGAAGAGACCTCCAGATTAGTCATTACTTTTATGAGCACAAATTGATCATTGGACATACTTATTTGTTCAGTGACTTTTTGCGATTACTTTTCCGTTGCAAGTATTAGCAATAGTACAAGCAGTATGGTAACCATCATTAGAAAGGTACAGAGGCGCACTCCTCATCGTTTAGAGTTGAAAAAAGCCTTTGACGTAATAGGTGTCCTTGGCTCACGCGA